GGCACATTCTGTGAATGTTTCAGGAAGGCGAAGCAGCTACTACTTGCCCAACCGATCAGCCGAAATGCCAGGGGACGGCCAAGAATGGCCTGAACCAAATGTCTTGAAGAATTCGGCTCCATACTTGTGTTATATTCTGCCGAAGCTCCTATAACTGGTTCAGGATCAAAAACATGTCACACACTGTGTGAAGCTGCTGCCTTTGCCACCCAAAAGATTAAGCGACCATCGACTTTCATCATAAATGAACTTTAAGCAAGGGTTATGTGACTCCAATTCATCAGATCGACTATTTTCTTAGCATTATTTTCGACTGTGTCTGCACTTGTTGTTGGACTCTGAGTATCATGTAATAAATTCTAGAAACTGATAATCGAGAACTGAACTCCACAAATCTATGTTCCTTGTCAAACAATTCACTTCACAAAAGATGCTTGATGTGGCTCAGCAAAAATTAGCTAGAAAGTCCATTGGATGTGTCTTTGCATGTGACCGCCATTACCTTTAAAATCTGAATTCTGAATGTAAAATGTATGGATTCGTACACTATGGTATGTTAAGATGCGCATACTTCAATTAATAACGAGTTATATGCGGTTGTTGCTGTCCCTCTACTTCTCTGTCCTAGGTTAGAGCAATGCGTTGCTCGTCAGTAATGGTGTGTCAGTAGCTCATATGATCTGTAAGCTTTCGTGGATTAATACTTCAGCAAATATCTCACAAGGGAAACCCAGTTTTAAAGGAGCTGTAGTTTTAATGATGGTCCTGAAAAATCACAAAACGTTCTAGAAAATTAATTCATAATTAAATGAGATAATTATGTATCTGAAATGCTGAAACATAACTTGGATTCGCTTTTCTGCTCAACGTCCATTTCGATTTCAGTAATCTTTCATTGTGCTTTCATTACGTTTGCATAAACGAGTGAACTGAATTAAGCTAAAACTTAGTAATGACCACCTGTGACAAGTATAAATTAGCCGTTGTCGTAGAAAATCGATAAAATCTGCTGAATGCTTCGATTAAGCAATAGAAAATTTCAGTAAATTAGTGCATGTAAAGGTTTTGACCACCTGAGTTTTAGTTGAGATTCGTATTATAACCTAAAAACTTTTTCTTGATGATAAAATGAAGAATACGAGTAATAAATTATGAATATCATTAAAAATTTATTTGCCAACTACCAACAAACGACATTAACTAGGATTTCAACTCCTAACGATTGATCGTTATGTCTGAATGACCGCTTACAAAGAGTTTGCTAAAGTGTCATCAGCTCGCAACGTTGTTACTGGGATCTAAACTGTTTCATCATCAGTACCAACCTGCCGCCTCCAACTTACTTGTCGGTAGCATGCAAAATTATCGCCGATGAGGAGTTGTGTCGAGAACAGCAGCACGATGGCTTAATCACGCTAATCTTTTATTTATTGCAGCTGCGATAAAGTCGGAAGATAACTTGGAAAACATCCCTAGTTTGCAGAGCAAACGATCAATGTGGGAAGGTTCGAAAGAAGATTCGAAACCGGCTGAAAAGAAGCGTGAAATTGAACCGGAATTACTACAGTCCAGTTCGGTGAAATCTCGACTTTCCAAGTAATATTGGAATACTGTTGCTCTGTTTACTTTTGAGCCTTTAGAATGAATGATTACTACAATATAAAGTGGTTCTGTAACTTATTGTCAGTGCTTATTTAAAATGTCTTACCTTATAGAAAATATTGACTTCTCATTTTCAGATTTGTTGAAGGTGAAGAACAAGAAGGTGATGGTGAGGGCACACTGAGCAAGTCAGCCAGAAAGGAGATGGTAGGTTGGAAGGATGCTTTTTTAAATTTTTTCTCGTTTGCCGTTAGATAAAAATCGAAACTGGTGCTAAAGAGATCAAAGGCAAGTGGGAAAGAGGAAACGTCGAAACCGCACAGACTGGGATGGAAGACCGCAGTGCAGAGTTGGAGGAACTTCGAAAGAATGTTTCTGTAAAAGAGAGATCGAAACTGAACAGCGGTGTTGAAGAAGGTGCTACGGAAGTTTCCGAAAAAACAGAAAACGTCGAATTCGACACCGAAGGTTAGAGTAAATTCTTAGGCCAGTTTTCAGTCAGTTACCTGCTAGCTGCACATTTCCTTGCTTACACCTAATGTTTCATATTTTACTGTATGTTAGATATGTATTCTAATCTATCAGTGAAACCTAACAACACCGTTAAAGCTTCCCATAAAATGGCCGCTCTGTATTTATCCCGCTGTTTTGTCAACTGCAATTCATTTATTAGCCATTGTAAGAAACCATTGTAACCTCTTCGACTATTGAGCTTACAACTTGACTTCTTCTGGGTAGTAACTCAACTCAGACTGAAACTAACGATTTCAAGAGAGGGTCCTAACCATTATTTTCGTACGGCATTTCAATATTCTAAATCAGCTAGTTGCAGTTGCTGACCAGAACGACGGATGAGAAGCGAGGAACTTGTAATTTGCCCATTGGTAACTTACACAGACATTAAAGTTCGAAACAATTTTTCGCGCAGGAAGGCATTAAATTCGCTAAATTTTTATTTATGCAGCCAGGATTCACTTGTCAGCCCTTCTCCAGTGAATTGACATGAAATTTGGAAAGGCCATTGAAAAGAAACACTGCATAAATCAGCAGATCAGTTTCAACGAGAATTCGCGTTTACAAACTTCAAGTCTAATAAAATGTTTATTTTAGCTGTAAGGAAGACCAGAGAACAATTCCAAAAGGGCATTCCCTTTCAAGAATTAACATCATCTGATAATGTGGACAAGGAAGATATAAAATTTGCAGGTAAGTTCAAAACCTTAACGTACAAATAAAGTTATAGTTTTCGCTGTTCAGAACTGAGTAACGTGAAAGACAAGTTCGAGAAGGGAGAACTGTTGGACAAGAATGTGAAGAAAACGGAAGTAGAGGCGCGTTGTGCTGAACTGGGCAATATCAAAGCAGCGTTTGAGCAGCCGACCAGTGATGAAAGCGAGAAACAGAAAGAAGCGAAGAAGCTAGAAATTTCAGAGGAGTTCCAGAAGATAAAGAAGGAGAAACGCCGTCTGCAAGAAAAGGAACGAAGGGAAACTGAAGAAGAACTGCGAAACCAGCCTGAGGTGAGTTTTTGACATTTCTGACGTTCTTCAGTCAGGCGCAGTTCCCTCAGGTTGTTCCTTACGTAAACCCGGAGGATGTCAGACAGTGCAACGAATTAAGCTCAATCAAAGAACGGTTCGAGAAAGGAGAAGCGTTTGAAACCACTCAGGAGGGACGAAAAACAGGCATTGACGAGCAACTTGAGATCAAGGTAGCTCCAAAGGCGAGAGAGAAGTTCAAGAAAATTGATGAACAGCAGTCGGTTCTTTCGACAACTACTCCTACCACTCCAGCAACGGTCACGCCAAGCAAATGGACGAAAGAGGTTTAAAGAGTAATCTTCACGTGCATACGTTTCAAATTGTATTTTAGGCAAGCCCTCTGCCAGAACCTGTGAACAGACGCGTTGCAGAAGAAAGTGAAGTCGTTGAAGAGCCAGAAGATTTTGAGGTGAAAAATATTCTGGACAAATTCAAGCACATAGAACAGCAGAAAGAAGAGGAACCGAAAGGACTGAAACCAAAACGCCATATTACTCCTCCTCCTGAAGGCTATCAGTTAGTACAACATTTTGAATTGCTTACTTTAAAAACGCTATAAACTTTTCGAATATTTGTAGTACTATACATACAAAATTCTTATATAATTCTGAGGTAAGGGTTTTATTTTGTTGTACAGCGTCTCTAAAGATACGTTAAAAATGGAAGTTCTTTTCGAATTAAATAAATGAATGATTAACGGCTTGAATAAAACTCAAAAAATAATTTTACCACTCTTTACAAACTATAATTGTAAAAGTGATCCCAAATGTTGGGTTACTACTGTGCTAGTTATTTTGTTTTTATTTACCTGTTTGGGTAAAACCTGAAGCTGTCTTAAAATGACTAAGAACAATAATTCTCTCTCTCTGTGCAAAGTACTGAACTGACTAAAATGTTTATAGGGCTGAATTTGAATCTGCCGTGAAAGAACGTGATCCCAGCATTGTTACCAGCGACATGAACCCGGATCAAGTCGTGGTAAAAACGGATGCAAAAGTGCTGAAGGAAAAATTCGAACACAATCCAATTCAAGAAAATGTTCAACTTGAAGAAAAGAGGAAACAACTGGAGGATGAATTCAAGATGATTAAGGGTAAAGATTCTCGATATAAGTTCAAAGAAGCTCATCGCTATGGGCTGTATATCGACAGGGGAAAGGCTTTATTCATAAATATGCAGCACATCTAGATGCTTGTGATTATGAATAAGGTCATTAGACGCATTGAGATTAACAGTGTGTAATTGAAATTTTCCCTGAAAAGTTTCTGCGATAAATTTTATGAATGAACTGCGATGTCAGCTATACTTATATGTGCTCTGCACTTGGAGTAGGGCGTTGACACAATACTTAAAACTGAAGGGTTGACAGTGACTATGCCTAATATGTTCCCGAAGCATGGTTGAATCATTTCCCGCTGTTTACGCTCTGAACGAAGGATGATATATTTGATGGGCAAGAGGACGCGAGATTCAACATTCGATGGATGAAATGGTAGTCGAAAATGACATCTTTTGCCATTGTAAATCTCGGATAGCCGATGCACAGGAATCAGGCGTAATGATATTTTTCTAAACTTACATGTTTCTGTTATCATTCGTAGGAACAGAGGATGGCTTCTGATCATCCTCAGAGACCGCCTTAATATTGAATTGACACTGCTGATGGTTCAGCTGACAATATAAAATCCTTTAAAATTATTTCAGATGTGAAGTTAATATTATTAGAGACTTTTTTCACCGCGTATCTCATTTTCTTAACTTTACTCTATTAATCTCTAGAACAAAAAAGCCGAACGGCATTGACAGAGGAACTCCAGGAAGAAGAAAAGCCCCCAGAAGATTCAAAGATTGAAGATTTAGCGATAACCGCTGAACATGCTCAAAAGATGCGTGCCAAATGGGAAAAGATTCAGAGGAAAGAGGCGAAGAAAGCTCAGAGAAACGCTGCAGTGAGGAAGAGTATTGCAAAGGTAAAAATGTTCGTTATTTCATTAAAAGTTTCCAAAAAAACATTCACGAAAGTCCATGAAAGCTTTTCACATTGTTCTTTGTCATTTTCCAGGATCTTGCTACAGTCGAAGAAAATGGCTTACTCGATATAGCTTAAGTTTCAAAACAGGCGCCGTTACATTTTAACAATGAGTCCGTTTATGTCAATGAATTATTTATAAGCTTCCATGTGTCGATTATTCGTCTTTCGTTGTGCGACTGTCTTCACTTTCTTGAGAGAAGAAAGTTTATTCATTTCTGTATTATCTCAAGACTGTATGCTTGTGGCTACTAGACAAATAATCTCCGTTATGAAACCTCGTTATAACTCACTTCCCAGTCGAAATCTTACTTCAGTTCTGAAAAATTCTTTGGTCAGATAAAGGATCTTTGCCAGAATTGGCCAATAAGTAATTATTGGAAGTATAGAATTGGCGTAGATGAAAATTAAGATCAAGAATATTTGTTAACTGTTATCTTAAAGTTTAATCTTACAGGTGACGAAAGAATGCAGTGGATTGAAATCAGTTTATGTCTGTGTGTAAAATGTAGCCTAACTGATTTGCGGCCACTGTAGGATAAACCGTTTCGAAGGCAATGAATACAAAATTCAGAAGGCTAAACAGAAAAACCGGTCGCTACTGTGAAATGTTCTAAGCAACTGAATTTGCAATACATGGGCCAATCTATCAGGGGTCATGGCTACAATTCCTGATTAAATCTATTAGAGATACTCAGGAACAGAAAAACGGATGCACGGCAGCTACACTTATAGATAAATACAAAATATACACAGCATGATAAAAAGATTCACATCTGCAAATTAACAACCACAGTGGTTCTGAACCTCTTCGTTTTATTTTTGGTTAAAACATTGATTTTAGCTTCTTTAATAAGCTTAATTTATCTTACAGCTAATGTCGCTTCGTTACAATAAGCTTTTACATTTATTTAATTCGAGAAAGTCAAAAATTATGACAGATTCATAACATACTTTATCTATAAAACAGTAAAAGAGGTTAATCAGGCTTAGTACCTCTGTCACATTACCTATAGCGGGCGGTCCCGGTCTGCTACATTTAGATAGGTGGATCAACCTTGCTTCTAGCCCTTGCTATAGCTTATTTGATATATGGGCAAATAAGGAAAAATTCCGTTCCATAAAAGTTTTTTTCTACCGTATCTTGGTAAGACAAGTGCTGTTATATGAAGAGGGATCATTGTTCTGATAAAAGATCAACACTGGTTTACTATCCTACAGCAGCGCTGCCTTGGATACATAATGATGCTTAAACAGTTACTCCAGTGTCTTTCTTACAACGTAGATGAACAAGAGAGTGAGAGGTCTGCCTCCTGAGAAACACTTTTGCATCTACGATGAAATGGCTAGTGTCTTGTAACGAAAGCTTCGACAAGCTTAGACTACAGTAGGCTTCAGGAACTAAGGCACTTTGCAAGTAGAAACAGTTCGAGGAGAGAAGAATCCAAAACATCCTTTATTCAGCTGTGTTTGTGTGCATAACAGACCCTTAATTCTGTTATGTTCAGTGACGAGGCATTCAGTCAGCTGGCATTTACATTAATCTGTCCTTTCTAACTGACATGCTTCGAACAAGGTGTTTTGAATAGTACGTTGTCATCAACGTTATTTGCGAAACACTTGTTGAGTGAAGTCGAAACAGCGGGTCTTTTAGTGAGCTGCATTTTAAATACGACTTTAAATAAATCTGAAGCTTCACTAGCTCTCTAATGCTCACAAAATTAACATAGTTGGTTATTAATTAAACACCACTTCTATTGGCACTCATTTTTAAGGTTTAGGAAGTTTTTTCTTTTCAAGAATTCCTTCTTTTATATATATTCTTCTTCCGTCATCTGGAGACGAAAAGATCGTTTCACATATCGATGAATGCATTCGTTTTTAGAACAAACCGGAAGAATGAGTTCATTTGTGGAACTTCGACACCAAGTAACGTTGCAAGCCGACTCGTCTACAAAATTCTCTCGTTTGCCGGAAGGCGTTCTGCTTGTATTTATTATGACTATCATTTGCGTATACTTTCTACGCTGTTGTAAAGATGAAGTCTATGACATAGTAAATAAGACTACAGCCGCGTGTCAAAACTCAGATAAGAGTTGTAGTGCTCAAGGATGGTTTGACTGATTTGCTGTGGACGACTAACACTGCTTTATGAGCTTGATATGTACCGAATGTCTGACACAGGCGCAAGTGAATTTAGCCCCTTAAAATGCCTGCAAGTCTTTATAATCCTTATGCATGCTGTTTCCGAACTTTTTAATCAATATGTTTAAAAAAGCACGTTTTAATCAGCATGCTGTAATCTAAATGGTCTGATATAGTTACTATTTTAAGCATTTGGCTAGTTTCACCCCCTGTAAACACGAATGTCCCGTGTGCATGAAAACTGTGTATCTAGCTGAACAGCTGGAATGCGATGGTAAACTCTACCACAAACCGTGTTTCAAATGCAAGAAGTGCAATATGCATCTGAGGTCAGCTTAACAACTAATCATGTGACACGCGAATAAGCTTGATTTTTAGGTTGGAATCATACAGTGCAGCTTCGGATGGAATCTACTGCAAAGTACACTACAAGTTGCTGTTCAACGATCTCAGTCGCATGTGCTACGATGGCCGTCCCCTGGCTTTCAACCCAGCTCTGCGGTCTTAATGATCCGTGTCGCGTGAGTCTGCTTGGCTACATGCATGGTTAAACATTCGCGCTGTCCTAGTTGATTTTTTATCGGCATGTATATCGTGACTATTTGCTGCATGTCGACATCGAAACGAGGATGAAAAGGTACAAGCATTCTCAGGGGGCCATGTTTCGCCACATGTTACTGTTGATGGAATTTTTAGGTAACTTTACAATGTACATTCATATTTAATAAAAGGATACGCTTATCATTTAGGGAAGCATTTGCTTTACTCATTAAATGCACTCGATGAGACTACCAAAAAATTCTGTTTATTTACGTCTGGTCAGATGTTTTGGACGCAGAATATTTCATAATTTAATATTTCATATACAAATTTACTAAT